TAATTAGCATACCTATAACTCAGTTTATCTAATTAAACGTTTAATTTAGCTAAATATTATATATACTAGGAATTTTTATATTAAGAAATAAGGAGGAGGATTAATGTTTGGGAAAATTATTGCAGAAACAAGTCTCGGGTGTATTATAACCTTTAATTTATTCGGTTTTGCGTTCCAAAGAGATCTTCAATTAATTTCCTTTCACCCCCAGGGCCAGCGCTGCGTATTTTGGTTTATGAAAAAAAAATTTATTCTTCAGGGAAATGAGTTATAAAGGTTTTATTTTTCTCGTAAAATTATGTTTCGTATATTCGTATATTACGTAGCGAATCATATCTAACATAATTTATGCATTTAAAAGAGTGATATATTTTATAAATCATAACTATCTTTAAAGTAGTAAAATATACTTTTAATGCAAACGTATTGGTTAATAAGGCTACCCTTAATATGTATATTTAATTTCAATAAAATTTGTTTGTTTACAAACTCAAACTGTGAATTAAGTTCGGAAAGTATTTCTTCATGGTTATGAAATAACAAGGCAACATTTCGTAATATTATACATGTAAACTATTTGTTTTAAAAGCACCCAAATATATTTCCAATACGATTTCCAGTAATTTTTTTACTGGATTTATTGTAAATAGGAACAACGTAGATGTAGTAAACTCACAATTTATGAAACTCTTTCGTATGATCCCCAGAAAAACAAGATATTCCATTTTGAAAATTAACAAAAAATTATTAGCCTATAAGGAAACTAATTTTTTAACTTAGTATTTCTCACGATTTACGAACTGCAAAAGGCTGTTAGTGGATCAAATTGGATATCATTAGGCATAGCATCAAGAATTATTTAATGAAAATTCCATTTAATTCCTAGAAAAATTATGTAAAGAACGATGAAATTGGTATTGGTGAAGATAGTTAAATTGTTGTTCGACGAAGTTATTACAACAACAAGCTCACAGTACAAGCCAATTGTTTGGTGCTCTAAGGAAATCTTCAATTAATTTGCCTAAACCTCGAGGGTCAGAGACAGTTTTACGTTTTGAAACAAATAGTGTTAACCTCCACTGAGAGAATACTAGATGGTATTGTTGTATCTCAATTACTACATTGTAAAGCACAAAGTAGCTCGTGAAGAACTTGAATTTATTACCCGTGTAAATATACCATTTAGAATTATTATAATTTTGTATTATTTCAATTATTTTTAGTTGTATATACCTATAATGACCATTGAATAGAAGCTATTCTCATGGATACTAACGAGTATTAAATTGCTTAGAGGCAATGTAAACAAAGACAAGGGTTTCACAGTTTGAAGGCCAAGGTTGTAGGTTTTCGTTTCGCTCTCAGAATCGTTCCGTCTTTCTCAAAGGCTTTCCTAGATTTATAGCCGTAGTCTTATCTCTCCTACGATTTCACTTAATGTCTTTGTTTTTCTGCTTCAATCGTCTTTGACCCATATGATCTCCGTAAACGTCCTAATAATGTTTTGAGCCCCATGTGCCATTTAATTTTGCTTTTTATCGTTTCGAGATTTAATTCTTTCATCAAATTAAGAAGATATTTTAAAATATTTTGGACATAACACACGTGGTGTGGGTAAAAGTGGTTTAGTTGTGGTTTGGATACATTTAAGTTCATAAGTACAATTAAGGAATTTCCCATCCAATGATGACAACATTCTTCAAGTCCGGTTTATTATTTCACTTAATGGTTTTTATTTCACAGTATCTTCCTATTGTGAGAATATTCCTACTGACGTTTTAGTTTTTGGTAACAATACATAATTTTGTTCCACCATCACCAACATGTGGTTAAAATTGATTCAATTATGTACAGTATCATCCAATTAGGCAGTTGACCTATGTGGCAGTCCCGCTACAAAGAGCATCGGCAATGATAGACCAACAGACGATCAGGTATTGTGCTCTTGTATCTAATAAATATTGTGTATCATGTTCAATATTGTGTATAACATTGCGTGTAGCATCAAACACAGTAACCAAAAAACCACCACACCTACAGAGGTTAAATAATTATTTAAGTTATTTATGATCTGTTAAGTTATCCTCGCGTTGAATCACTGTCTTCTTTGATTTTCATGTTTGGCTAATTTTTCCCACTAGTATATTTATCAGTAGGGTTCTATTAGTTCCATTGAGTTAAAAGTCAAGAATGCAATAGGGACATGGATTGTATTACGCACTATTACGTGATTTGGAATTATTTTTTATTTGCGTACCAAAAATATTATTACTCATTCTTACTAAGTTTATGGGGGAGGTGAAAAACAACTGCATGCAACTTATAATGTTTTGTTGACACCAAAATTAGTTAAGCGATAAGTATGTGATTATATTCTTTATATTAAAATGACATACAGCACAAATTCTTAAATCGAGTTAGGATTCATGGCTAATAATCACTTTTAGGTAGATATATGTATTTATAAGCAGATTATTTTCACCCTCTTCAATCTCTAAGGTAGGATGGATTAAATAAACAAATAATTGGATCAAAGTTCTTCAAGTAGCTAGAACTTCTTCGTCGACCCCCCTTTGGAAGTGAGATGGTCTAGTAGTAGTGGGACTTCGGTACAAGGGGGTTCCGAGTTCAAATCCCGCCAAATCGATAATGGATTTTACCTAACCTATAATGCCACAACCCCTATGTTTAGCTTAGTTATGTAAAAAACGTTCTCGGGAAAGAGCCTAGAACGCTCCTAGGACAAAAAATGAACTTCATGTCTGCTGTGGAGATTTGAAAACATATTTTCAGTCCATTAGTTACATAGTGTGGTCGACACTATCAGAAATACAAAAAAATGTTTCATTATTCGGTTCACAACACAAAGGGCTCAACACGTCTGGTCACGTGGTACACAGGCTACATGGCAACGGACTGTTTATTGTTTCCGGTGGACGAGACTTGGCTTTGATCCGTCCACTTCCGGTCACGACGGAAATATTAAACAATTCTCTGTCTGCGTTGAATTGCAACTCTGTGTGTGACGATTTCCTTCACAGGTCTAGCAATGCTAGAGCCTGCGAATGAACAATAGTTTTATAACATATTTATACAAAATCCAAAAATAGACTGTGTATCTTTGTCGTTTATGTGACATCTTCTTTGTTTGTTATTTAGTTGTCATGCTTGACTCTAGAGAGTATAAGTTGGTCTATGAAACGCAGTTTTAGGGCATAGTTCAATTAAAGATAATAAATTGATAAAAAACTTTAGTAATTGTCTGGATAAAAACCTGGATGACGTCCTCAGTCTACTCGGAACTAGTACGGGTCTTCACTTCGCAGTCGTCAGGTGGCTGTTTCACTTTTGTTCCGCGGTTGAATGCTTATTTCTTTACATTGCTTTTGTTCCGTGGAAATCTATCTTGTTTCGCGAAAGAGGGGACTTTTCATCCCCTCCCCCAATTCCTCTCTTTCGCGCTCCTCCCAATGTTTTCTTTTACGCGGGCTTTAAAACTCGTTAAATGATCATTTTCTCCGTGAAACAATAGCAATAATTTAAATCATTTAACCTTACCTATGAAAGAAAGAATAAGGAGGAGAGCTAAATAGGGGATTTGGGGGAGGGAGGTTGCAGCCCCCTCTCTCACGGGACAATAGAGATATCCGTGGAACAAAAGTTTTGACCGGCTCCGAAATCTGCCTGCTGACCCCCGGAAAAAAGTCATGTGAAGAATTTAGCCTTTAACCGCGGAACAATAGCGACACACGCCTTTAGGCTTATGGAGGGCCACGAGACAGGTTCCATCACACAGACTATATCCTAGCCGCATCTTACTGGAACATTGGTTATTACTGCAGATAAGAGTAAAATAAGTGCTATATTTCGTGTCACTGTGCTTCAACAATAGCTTTTCCGCAAAATCATGAGTTTAGTAGCTTTTAGCGAATTTCCCTATAGGGAAGTAGCTATTACCGTAGGTCTCATGGTAAGACTTAGGCCCGGGACTGATTTACTTTTTCATTTTAATGTCCCCAGAGGCCAAAAACACCATTCGTTCAAATTTTTATATATGTATATATATATAGATATATATATAGATTTATATATATATATATATGTGTCCGTGAACACGATAACTTGAGTAATTTTTATCCGATTTTGATGAAATTTGGTTTGAAGGTGTAAGGCGGGATAAACTTGAATGAGTTCGCGATCCAGCATGATCGGACCATGGGAACAGGGTTTTATGGGGGGTTTTATGGGGTAAAAATTGGTTTTTCTCACTTCTTACCCTCAAAACACAAAATTTCCCAATTTTTCTCTAAACCTTCTTAAAGAGCTTAAAAAAACAAACAATTCAGTATATCAAAGTGTTTTTGTACGGTTATTGGTTACGGAGAAAACTAAAAAAATGGTAAATTTAAAATTCCCATGTTATTCTTATGGAGAATATTGTAAAATGTTGTAGTTTGCTTGTTTATGGATATATTTTGATTAAACTTGGCAAATTTATTTATTTTATAGTAAGCTATCAATATTTTACTAAAAACACACTACTTTATTAGTTTCCTTGTAGCAGCAAACCTAGGTACTCGTTAAACCTAATGTTATTTAAATAGATCAATTGAAAATCAATTCGGCCAAATGGAAATTCGCTTAGACGGCAGGTTTGCTGCGGCGGGGGTATTTGATGGTTTGAAACTGGACCCAGCTGTCTTAGATCATTGGGCAAATAATTGGTCCTGGCTAATGAAACAGCTGAGTATAGTCAGTAAAAAGCTACAAAAGACATCTTACTTCCTTTCTCACTCATCCTTCACTCATATTTGGAAATTTGGTCAAATATGTTTAAGTCTATATAACTATCTCTATTTAGTTATATAAAAAAATAAAATGATTACAAAATTTCTAATTGTACACAATTTGTATGGAAGTATAATTTGAATACAATTTACATAGGCCTATTTCAATTTATATAAACAGGATAATAAAACAGGATTACTTTAAAAGACCTATATTTATTATAATTACAATTATCATAATACTGTCCACCAATGTAAACAACTTGTCTTAATTACAATTGAGATATTTAGTACGTATTTCAAATAACTGAATAACATATTTACAATGTTCTGTGTTACTAATAAATCTAACGTATAAAACTGATGAATACGTTAGAATTGTACATGTAAGACAAAGTATACGATCAAATTTATACAGGTTAAAGTTTAAAATACTCAACATGTGTAATATGTATTAGGAAAATATAAGTATAGTAAATTGTTAATTACTATTGCAAGCACAAAATTATATTTTTCATTTAAAGCATATCAACGAATGAAAAATAAAGATTCAATTTAAATTTAGTTCGACGTTCGTAAAGTAGGCTGAGGTATTCTCAAAATGTTTCTGCAATTAATTAATCTTGGTAATCAGTTTAGAGCTCTCTGAACTAAGAATCTCATTCTCCCTTGATCCTGGTCAGTACTCAAAAATGTTTTATCTCTAAGTAAATTTCATTTTTAAAGAAATCATGCAGATGCTTTTGTTTATGGCACTTGTATTAACACAATATGTGTATTTTATTTCAATAAATACCACAATTATGTTTAGGTATATAGAATTAAAAAAAAGAACAAATCATATTAACTGTATACCACTAAGAGCTTTTAAATAAGTTAGGGTAAACGTAAAGCAGATGTATTTATATTCATAACAGTTTATTGTAGGATAGAAAAGTAAAACTGGACTTATTTTTCCGTAAAACCCAAAAACTCGTGATACTCATATTGATATCACGTTTTACAAAAAACCAACACTTAGGGTCAATTATAAGTTTTTTATAAACTAACAAATAAAACCAAAAAAGTAATACATTTCTTTACTATCAATCCTTAGTAAACCACAGCAACATTTACGCATTATTGCGAAACCCATCAACAACTCAACAACACTATATACAATCGAGAAAAATATCGCCTCACACCTTCAGTATACTTTATCACATTGTTGCCTTAACAACCTAATAGTCTGCATTAGTAAAACAGACAAGTAAAACATGTAGGATATGAAAAGACTTGTCCATAAAGTTCCAGGCGTTCCATTGGAGAATGTTACAACAAACTTTGGTTACATTCTCCAGCTGGGCCACCGTTGGCTCTACGTTGTACAACTAGCACCAATCCTTTTACTGTCTTGATCAGCAAGATCATCTGATGAGAGAGGCTGCTGACGTCATCAGTAGTAACGTGGTTGTAGTCAGCTGTGACGCGTAGTTTCTCCCGCCGTGCTGCATTGCAGCTGGCTTCTCACCTGGAATTTGAAATGTGGTTTCAATTTCAGTAGGAAATCGTGAAATAATTGTGAACTAGATAAATTTATAGCTGATTTTGTGTTTTGATAGTCAATGAGGTTAGTGTTTGAGTGTAAATGTCAGTTTGTGGAGATGTTTTTTTTTTTTATGAAAGATCAAGAGTATCTCAAGTAAAAGACTTGTCATCTTAATCGAAGATATTAGCATTGACTATACACAAAATAGACTTACCATGTGATATAAAATTTTGAAGCCAAGAAAACAGATTTAATTCAGGACCATCTCATCGGAGTTTACTAGTGTATTGGGTTAAATATTAATCAAAACCAATGCAATATCATAGCAAACAGCTGATTGATTTATCACTTAACACAGAATGTCATTATTTGGTAAACCATCTCAACAGATTGCACCAAGATTTTTTGTTGTTCTAACATTTGTAGAAAACACTAAAAAATAAGGCCGGGTCCAAAAAAAATTATAAAATATTTTTACAAAGCGCTATTAAATAGCGTGAGTATTTTAATGACGGTACATTACATAAGCATTTAGTCGGGTATTTTAAACTCATCAAAATTATGACTGTTATTACTGTAGTTTTAAAATAACTTCTGTATAATACCAGTACTTGACAATTGCTCGATTTCGATCAACAGGTACACTAGTAATATACAAAAAGGTGTAATAACCTGCTATCAAGCAATCCATTTAACTGCAGCCACAACTAGTTTCGAATCCTATCTCCCATCATCAGGTGGTACGAGGACTTCCTTTTACACATAAAGAGTTTATATGTTCAATAGGACGCTCTTCATGTAAAGAAAGAAGTAATTGTACTGGTGAAATTACCTGCTGTCAAGTGATCCTTTTGACCTTGAAAGGCGACCGGTTTCGATCCTCACGGGATCATCTTCAGGCGGACGTCGTCATCGTCTGAAGATGATCCCGTGAGGATCGAAACCGGTCGCCTTTCAAGGTCAAAAGGATCACTTGACAGCAGGGAATTTCACCAGTACACGTATTGATCAGTGATTCGGAGGCTTAACTCAAACAAAATGAAGAAGTCCTTGTCCCTGATGATGGTTCCACATAGGAGTCGAAGATAGTTGTGACTGCAGGTATGGATTGCTTGTTAGCAGGTATTTGAACATTTTTTCAACCAACTTTGTGTTCAGCCTTGCAATTCAAGGCCATTCAAGGTCTGAGGACTTTTTCAAATTTATAAAACGGCCATGAGCCTTTCAAGGAAGCAAACTCACCGTCCACCGTGCCGTTGAGCACGTGCACGTTGATGGTGGCAGGTTTAGCATTGGAGGGTACACACGTGTAGTTGCCACTGTCAGTCTTGTCAGCTGTGCTGATCGCCAACACACTACTCTTGCGATCACTCCTCACGCTGACCCCTCTCTCCTTGTCGTAGTTGATCATCCTGTCCCCGTGGTACCAGAACACATAGACAGGGGCCTCTGTGCTGTGTCTCAGCGTACAAACCAGCCGCAGCTGACTCCCGCTCTTGATGTGGAGATCTGGCGAGCCGAGAATGTCTGCGATTGCCTCTGTAATGTTTTTGGACGTTAGAGAAGGTAGGTTTGAGTTAGGGTTGTGAATATTGACACAGAGGAGAAGGTACAGAGGAAGCAATTAATGGTATATTAAATTAATGTCTAGCACTAGTGATAGTGTCTAGGGCCAAGTCCAACACCGAACGCTTACTGTAGAGGAAGACCCTGTGCTCTGTGATAGGAATTTCCGTTCTTCCTTGAGAAGTAAGGAATAGAGGTCACACTCCATGGTACACTTAAGTAGTGTCTAGCTCTAGTGCTGGTGTCTAGGGCAAAGTTTAACACCGCCCCTTGCGACCATGTACTACAACACTTACGGTGGAAGAAGACCATGTGCTCTGTAATAGGAATTGCCGTTTGTGTTCTTCCTTGCAAAGAGAACTAAGGAATAGAGAAAACACTCTATGGTACACTTTAGTAGTGTATAGCCCTAGTGCTGGTGTCTGGGGAAAGGTTCAACACCACCCCTTACAACCATGTACTACAACGCTCACTGTGGAAGACGACCCTGTGCCATGGTAATTTCCGGACATTTCTTCCTTCTCTGGTTCTTCATTGCTCGTCACAAATATTTTTAGTCCAACACACCAGAACTGGAAGTTCTGTACCTTACCTGTGATGTAGCACTTCGAGTCATCGTTGAATTGGCGAAAAAATTTTCAACATTTCAAAATGCGATAAAGCATTATAATTTTGGGTATAGCTCAAATTTACCTGAAGCTGTATCTGAAGATATCTGACAGCTAGGTTTGTGTTTGATTATTATACAATAGACACCAACAACAGATGAGTGCGGTTTTCGTAAAGTAGGGACTTAACTTGGTTTTCATGGGTGAATGTACAGACTATTTAGGTTATTATCTATATAAATTTGTATCTATACATTTTTGTTGCGAATAACTTAAATAATTACTAAATTATGGAAATAGTTACCTAAAAATATAGTCTAATGCTATTTACGACTCCAAACGCTATTTTAAAATGCCAAAGACCACTAACCATATCTCTAAAATAATTTTAAAATATTAAGAAGATTGCAGTCGTCGGACAATTTTGAATTACAATTAAATACTTTCATTACAGTTTGATTATCATTTAACTATATACTTTCAAAATTACTATAATGCTTATTATAAGGTCTTAAAATCGCCATCCAATTCATATTTAACATTTTTATCGTACAAAGATATTTATACAAAGATTTAAAAAAAATCTTAAATTATAAAAATGTCTAAACAAATTGTGTACATAGTTAGTTTTACTGTGTGATAACATGTTGTGCCCCTCACCTATGACTTTCAGCTCAACGAATATACTGGTTGGAGGATGGGTGGACACCTGGCATTCGTACATTCCAGCGTCGGATTTCTGCACCTTGTGTATTTGGAGACCCCAGTTCTGGAAACAAGAATGATTCGTTAACTTAACACCCGAAACGGTTCCTTAAGGAAGAGTAGAAAATAGTGTGGTGAAACGTACAGGTGGTGTGCCTATATTTAGTAGCTCCTGCTTCTTGTCTACTTAATCATTAAGCTGCTTCCATCACCTGAATTGTCTTAGCCGATTTTATTTTATTTTACTAGTAGGTCAGGATGTAACGTTAAACTTTAGGGTCCTAACTGTTCCGGGTACTGAAATTTTTGGTGCCAAAGTAACCATAATTAACCATAAGTAACCATTAATTGGAAGAATGGAATGCAAATGAAAGGATACTTATACAATGATATCGATAATATGACATTTTGTTAAACGTTGTCTATTGTTTATTTGGATTGCATTCAGTTTCAAATGTATAGTGAATTTCAATAATTTCAATTTTTATAAATATGCTATGAACACTTTCCTGTATCCATTAACCTTTAACTGTTGTTTATTGTTGATATGTTTTGCCATAGCAGTATGCTACTCTCCAACAATACCAACTAGGACTGAAGTATAATCTTTGACTAAAATGTTGTTTTGTATTCAATTGCTTTCTAGTACCGGCATATTACTAATTAGAATTCAAAACAGCCGAATTAAGTCATTATAATGGCTGTTTTGTTTTAAACTTGACTAAATATATTTGTTTATATCTTTAAATGGATTAATAATATTCATAGTTCATAATATTCATAGTTGTATATTACTTTATTATAATTTTCAATCGACGTAAATAAAAAATAAATTACATTTATTAGTGGTATTGCTAACACATAATTATGGAGGGTTGAGGTTTTTACGACAATATGCAATTGTGGTAATAATATGAGTTTGATAATGATATCTGTTTTATAACAATCTACGCAAACAAATGGACTTGTAACAAATAATTAATGAGATATAACAGAATCGAACGCTATTATCAATAACAGACCCATTATCAATAACATTAATATCAATGTCTGAATGGAAGCTCTTAGCTTATTGCATTGTCGGCTACAGTAATTATGCAATAGTATGGGGAGTCTATAATTTATGCTAATGGGTTGAATAATTAAAGTGATATTATTTGTGTTGTACAGTTGAATTTGTAGAAATATATTGTCTTACAGGTGATTTTTTTAATAAATCCAATACATATTTTTAATCCTGTATAAGGTACGGTATGACCTTCTTGACCTAGCCTAAAATTGTGTGAAAAACGTTCTGGGCCAAGAGTCTTATAGCTCCGAAGAACATAAGAGTAGGACGTTTAACACATCCAAATTTTAGGACATTTAGGACAACCAAATATTGTTGAACATACCTGGAGATGCCTAGCATGCTCTACCATGAACCTGTCGTCACTGCTGTATGTGGCTAGTCCTACAGTCAACAGCTGGAAGTCCTTCCGTCTAATCCAGGACACCTGGAACAGTCATGTGATATTGTAAAATATATGATTGATGTATCATAACTTTATAATACACATTTTCATGTTCAATGTATACGATCATTGACAAAAAATTGAATATAGACCTTCAGCTGTTGCGGTTACCATAGGTTCTGGCACACACCGCTGGGAGCGCCATGTAGTTACGGCGTAAGTGCTACGGTGTTACGCGGCGCTCCCAGTGGTGTGTGCCAGAAATTATTATAACCATAGTAGGCGGAGCACGGCCGACGGTCGATATTTATTTCTTTTTACCTATGATACGATGGAGTTGCACAGAATTGCTTATTTAAATTGAAAAGCAACTAGTTTCTGAGGCACCAACCCTTCAACCTTTCGAACATTATGTTTGAAAAACACTCATGTCAAAAAACTAGTTATTATGTTAATAATTTATAACAATTGAATCTGATGGTTTTATATCCAACTTATATTATGAAGAGTGATTTGTTTACTTCAATCACAGTTTAGATTGAAAATAAAATGGAACCTAATTAAAAACCAGTTTTCACAAACTGTTTCTTTTCCTGTTCACAGTCTTACTGTAGTAAACCATTATTTACCTCTGTAATCAGCAAAAATTACAATTCAAATTTGAATTTTTTTTTTAGAAATTTGGTCCACAGTCCTGGATCTGCAGCTAATTGTAATAAACCAAACGCTAGGAGGATACGTCCTAAGGACAATTTCATTTAAGTTACAAGTCGTCAATTCACAAGATCATACAAAATTAAAAATTGAAAAGTATATGTTTCACTAAAAACCCTTGTTTGTATTAAGTATATAGATATTTTGGTTCGTAAAAATATCTTAAGCAGGACTAGAACGGTTGAAAAGGGGGACATTCGAGTGAAAACACTTATTGTATTCAGTATAGATATAGGTTAATGGTACAATAGCAATGCATTCTAAGTGAGGGCTTACTCTGTTGTTGGAAGTCATCAAAACATTGGCAGAGATATCGACATTACTGCATTCTGCATTGGTGCATTGGTGCAACATCAATGTTTTAAGTTCGGGTAGAAGATCAGCTCTCTTAAATATAACTAAAAAAATCTTTCATCGATTTTGTTTTATTATGGGACATTTTAAAAGGTGATTTTTGTCATGTACGTGTAGAATGTGTTTTTATGTGATAATCTAAAACGTTATTTTATCAAACAATTTTATATAACACTAGCTGTGTACCCGTTCTACGCACGGGGATCTTATAATATTCAGTTGAAACCTTCTTATACAGGGTGATTGATATAAGTGTGCCAGCCGTTTTATTCAAAAACTATAAGAGATATCAAAAAAAGTTAAATGGTAAGTGCCTTGGATTTTTTATTAAAAAAATTGTAGTCAAGTCAAAAAATTTATTTTAGCCGCCATTTTTCCAATATGGCCGCCAACTTTGATTTTTCTTATGGAACACCCTGTATTTTATGATGTATTCTGGTAGAAAAGGTAATTTTAAGACGATTTTATTCTTGTGATTTTTTTCATAAACCTTACCGTTTTAAAGATAATAATGGTTAAAGTTTTGAAATTTCTGCATGAGAAAGAGTTTCGATAAAGGCCTAAGCAAGCATGCCAGCTGTTTTGCTCGAAAACCATTCAAAATTTCACAACTTTAACCATTATTATCTTTGAAACGGTTAGGTTTACGAAAAAAATCACAAGAATAAAATCGTCTTAAAATAACTTTTTCTACCAGAATACATCATAAAATACAGGGTGTTCCATAAGAAAAATCAAAGTTGGCGGCCATATTGGAAAAATGGCGGCTAAAATATTTTTTTTGACTTGACTATAACTTTTTTAAAAAAAAATCCAAGGCACTTACCATTTAACTTTTGTTGATATCTCTTATAGTTTTCGAATAAAACCGCTGGCACACTTATATCAATCACCCTGTATAACGAACAGCAGTTGGTTTGCATATTTTAAGATATGCTGGCCAAACTATTATACATAGCTTCATTTTATGTTGTTTTTTGTTGTTCCGGATCGGTATGACAATCAATAAAAGGTTAAATTACCTCTGTGTCTGCCGGTCGATCCTATAACGGTAGGCTTACTTTTATTTTTACTATCTGATCTCGTTTGCATGGCTCAATCACGTCCTGGTTGAAGTTCGTTCGCTACGCTCACTCACCTGTATGTTGGAGCTCGTTCGCTGCGCTCACTTTCCTTCAGGTTAGCTCGTTCGCTACGCTCACTTGCCTTCAGGTTAGCTCGTTCGCTACGCTCACTCGCCTCCAGGTTGCAAATTAGCTGTTGTCATAAATGTAAAAGAAATAATAGTGCTAGTGCTGCACCCTGTTGGTAATCCTTGTAACTTTAATGCTATTGAACATCACAGAACAGAACCAACTTGTTTAATTGAAACAGCTGTTAAGATTCAATAATTTCATTTCTCATAAGGTTAACATGGGCTTCCAGAAATTCCACGTCAAAAATCGACAAAAACTTGATTTTCAAGGGTTTACTGTTAAATATCTAACTGTCTCATATTCGATGAAATACGTCTAAAACCATCTCATATATGTATAGTATTTGGAAAATAAGTTTCAGGCGGGACAGTGCTATAGTTATTGAGGAGTAGTTGTAATAAAGTGCGTATTTTAGCGTTACCAAGAGAATGACAGATAGACAGACAGACAGACAGACAGACAGACAGACAGAAATTGAGATAAGGTTTGATTCGGTTTCTCTGACCTATGAAATGTAAAAATAACCAAAAAGTTCATTATTCTAAGCAATGTACAGACAAAACTCTAATTTTATTTATATAGATTGTTTTTCATCTTGGTCAATAGTTTAATCGTAGTTAATTGATTTTTTTTCATACGAAAAGTAATACTCAACGACAGAAGACTCAAACGTAGCTGGCATGAAACAGTCGAGTTATGATCAGGATCGAAATTTTACTTGAAATATCCAAGAGAGTTATAGTACGAAAAATGGATAGGCGGAACCGTAACATGTGGTAACTGCATAAATATATAGATTATGCCACAAGGCAAACCCTAAAATATATTTTGTATTCAAACTAACATTATTTAAAATAAAAATGTCAAATGAAATAGTGTAAGGTTTAGTAAACGTCAACATTATAAGATAAATTATTATTCAGTGAATTTTGACACATCGTGTATGAACAAAAACAAACAATATCAATGAGTTAAATTGAGTTTAAACCCGTTGAAATTACATTGTTATTATATTGGGGTGTTATATTGTGAACACATAAAACGTAATTGTATCTTTTTTCTATTATCATTGTTGATGTACAGGAAAAAAATTTTAACAATGCTATTTTAGTTTGTAGTTTTTGAAAAACCTATTAATTGACATGTCGTATACACTCAAAAAAAAGAAAACCTAAAATTGTGTTTCAATTATGTAAAAATTACTTCTCTTAAATATTATAACTTATGAAAACGCGCTTTGTTTTTTAATGATACTAGTTTTGTTTAGTTCATTTTTATAACTATGCTTTAATTGATCTATAGTCCGATAAAATCATTCAAAATATACATAACTAAAATATGTAGCTCGAAATTTGCAGATACGTAGATTACAGACCGCTGGTAACCAGGGATTTCTATAGTTTTTCATTGTCAAAATTTTTTCCATATTTTGTAGCCTTTTCTCTGTACGACAAGATAAATTTATATTAAACTTTCCACTGGGAAATCTTCACAATATTCTTTCAGCAACATTATGTAGATTAGTGTCACAGCTTTAGATATTACCTTTGTCCATGTAGTAGATATTCCATTTCAATGCTAATGTCGTAGCCAATTTTAGTCTAAAATTCAACATAGTGTAATAGAATCACCGACAGAGTGCACTGCTTTAATATAATTTTTTACTGGAATATTAATTATTTATCAAGCTAAGCTTAAGGAAACATTTCCTGTACTGTATACGCATACTTTATAGGTCAAAGATTATCAAAATATCCTCAAAAGAGAAATCGGTACTTTCGTATTACACCAACCACACCAAAATTGGGTTAGGTTAGGCTAGGATAAGATAACCGGAAAATAACCTAACCTAATCTTAATTAACCTAGTTGTAACTAATTTAGGTGTGGTCAATATATTACCAAAGTACCAAGAAAACGTACGAGGGTGACTCATTCTGTAGGTTGCTCGTTCAGCTATGTTCTAATTTAAATATTTGAATATAAATTCCCTAATTCAGTTTCATATGGATAGAATATATATTTCACTTTTTTAAGTCAATTATACTTATAATTAGGTTAGGATAGGTTAGGTTAGGTTAGGTTAGGCTAGGTTAGGTGAGGTTAGGATAGGTTAGGTTAGCTTCACCATACGAAAATTGCAAATTTAAATTATTTTGTTATAAACTGAAATTATATTATAATCAAAATGTAAATTAAACTAGATTTTAAAGTTTTTATATAAATTGGTTTAAAGTATACTACAGTTATCACTTACAACGCCCGTGCCAAACTTTCTGACTGTGCAGGGCAGCGTTGCTGTGCTCGCCATCTGAGCGGTCACAACAGTAGAGTTCTCTGTAGCAAACACTGCACTGCGGGTCGCACTCTCTTGTCCTACTGTGTTTTCCACATTCCGGTGGTGCTTGGACTCGACACTTCGCTTGCTGCGAGGTAGCTCATCCTGACTTTCTTCTGAGGGCCCTGGAATATTGCACAACGAATTCAGGAACAAACAGTATTAGTGTGTTGAGAGTTGTGTGTGATTTTGGACTATTGATGGAGGGGGGGGGATGAACAGCTAAGTTTTTGCGAAACAGGTCTCCGGTTCAATCCAGTAAAAAAGTCTTCAGTCTTTGGCTTCTAATTAAAAATTCTGGCTAGTGTGGTAGATGTATTAAATCTTCCTATTTTGTTCTAAACTCACCTTTACTTCTTATATTATTCATAATAAGCATATCCTAAACATTTACAAACACATGCTGTAGACATAGCATTGAGGGCGTAACTGTCTTAATTAATTAATTGATTTTCAAACGTATGATAACTGGGGAGTTTACTATGATGTAAAGGAGTAAGTAAAATGTTCAACTAGTCTTGTAAATATAGTTCGCCAAGTGATTAGTTGTGGACTAGAGCTACTCTTATACATTGACCATATAATCCAAATTTAGTTATAATTTCTCATTACTTTTGGAAAAGGTGGTAAGGAATTCACACTGTTAGCTAAGATTATTTCAACAACATATACTTTTCACCACTATATATAAAGAAGTGGTAACGTGGCCAATGCTACGAATATTTGATTGGATATATTATTGGAACACATGTTAAAAATTTATAAAATTAAATAAAATAGTGACTTGACCCAAAAAAAACACACACAGTTTGTGAATCTACAGTTGTTCTCAGCAACTGAACCGAGTACCTAGAACTACAAACGTTTCTGCAGTGACAACTGTTGCATGTCAAGTTGTCGCATGGCTTGGTTTGCACTGAGACAACTATCGACTTCTATTCGCGACACTGTGACATGGGGTATTCCTGTCACACATATTCCTCCTTTCCACTGTTTTATTGAAAGTAGCATCACGCTATTCCATTTGTATCATACACATAAGTATATCCTCAATCTGTTCACATACATGACATGGAATGTTTTATGTCAATCTGGCACACCATCCAGTCCCAGTTCCAAAGCGAAATCGATTACTTTTCGGCGTTCCGAGTGCTTCTTATCACCAAATTTTAGTACGTAGTGTAATCATAGGGTGGACATAAACTACTTAAACTTAATAGACAAATTTTGGGGCAGTAACTCTTTCGGTAGACATGCATCAATACTTTTGTTGATGTATATTGTACATTGATAGGTCAAAGGTAATTTTAAGAAATAACTTATTTAAAAATGAATTATTCTGAAAAAGGAAAGCCTCATTTTAAAAAGTCCACTGGAATGGTTGATAGTAAATAAATTGCAATCAGTGGAACGTCGTCAAAAGCTTGACTATTAATAGAAATATTTATTCGAGATATTTTATAGTAACAATATCCTCTGTACCTCTATCAGCCAATGAAGTGATGACAATGAGATGGACGAGGATAGCGACTCCTAGGAACGATATTGTCCTTGAGACTGGACAATGAGTCATGCTAGAGTCCTCGGTCTTGTCCGGCACAGCCGAAACACTGCCTAGATACATGGCATCACAGGCTACACCGTGAGTCACTGAAACACAAGGAAATTTATTGATACATTTCATCACAGACTACGTCGTGAATCGCAGGCTACACCGTGAGTCACTGAAACACAAAGACAATGAATAGATACATTGAATCGCAGGCTATACCATGAGTCACTGAAACACAAAGGAAATTAATAGATACATGGCATCACAGGCTACACCGTGAGTCACTGAAACACAAAGACAATGAATAGATACATTGAATGTAGGCTATACCATGAGTCACCGAAACACAAAGGAAATTAATAGATACATGGCATCACAGGCTACACCGTGAGTCACTGAAACACAAAGACAATGAATAGATACATTGAATCGCAGGCTATACCATGAGTCACCGAAACACAAAGGAAATTAATAGATACATGGCATCACAGGCTACACCGTGAGTCACTGAAACACAAAGACAATGAATAGATACATAGAATCGCAGGCTATACCATGAGTCACTGAAACACAAAAGGAAATTAATAGATACATGTCATCACAGGCTACACCGTGAGTCACTGAAACGTAAAGGCAATGAATAGATACATAGAATCATAGGCTACACCGTGAGTAACTGAAACACAAATACAATGAATAGATACATGTCATCAAAGGATACACCGTGAGTCACTGAACCAAACGCGAGAAAATATTCGATGAATTCGAGAATGAACAGAGTTGAAGATAATGTTTATATATGTGATATTTATATGTATTCTTAAAAGTAATTGTCTTATCCATGTTTTTTCAGGATACCATTTGAGCTCAAATGTGCTTATGTTATATATCCATGGATAAAATAATGATAGCTTTTTTATGGTATCATTATTCTTACGAATCCAAAATAAATATACGATTCGAATATTATACCTTATGACCTGTTATTTTAGTAGTATGATTAACTTGTTATATTTTATTTAACCCCATGAATAATAATTGTTACGTACCATCTACCTTTTTAAAAGAATTATTTCAAATAAAAATGTTGCTGTCATTCCTTTTATCTCTACAATTCCCAAGCATCGACATATAAAACTAAGTTAGTTTTATATGTCGATGTTCCCAAGGCGCTGGTAGTGTCAACGCACAGTTTACCTGCAAAGACACCTGCAAAGACAAAACCTGCATTTGCTGCTTGAGGAGGTTCTCGCTTTTAGTCCTTGTGTTGGTTTTTATCTTAGTTATATTACAAAAAAAAATATTTTTACTTTCACTATAAATAATAAAAAGTAATATTAAGTCATTTGCTTTATTGTCAAGGTATATCAACAATATAACTATTTGTGGATAGTTACCGTACAAAATCTAACCTAATAAATAATAATCTAAATGATAGTGTGTTTCCATGTATATTATACTGTATAAGGTCAATGAATTTAATGTATTGAAGCAGCTAAAAAATAATATACTAGTCTAAGTTGATGATTTTTAAGATGTATAAGCTAGTTAAACGAAGCGCGAGATTAGCATGGGTGGATAAATAGGTTAATTGAATTACAATGAGACGATATTGATGGAGAATTCAGCACTAGTGATAATATTGTGGAACCAACATAATTTTATTGTATAACTACAACCAGTGTTTGCATTCAAATGCAATCATAATAGTTATTAGCACCGCGTTTGTTTTTATGTGTTTATCAAATTGAATGTGTTTAATATTCAATTCTACACTACAGATTAAACTATTTGTGTATTATAAGTTTCAATGCTCAAAACACTACTTGTATATTGTTGTATCTATAATTTCAAGCTTGTCTTAAAAAAAAACTGTTGAGGAAATATATGGACATACAGACGAAAGTCAGTTAATCATTTTATGTATAAAATATACTGATATTAAGTATGCTTTGGCTCCCTATAGCCGTCCCAACATTGTACTTGGTTAAGAAGTTGTCATAAACGACAAAAAACTGTAATTTACATCTGCGTAATTTTTCGTTTGCCACATTATACTGCATCTATTTTTATTGAAACACTCGTACCAACATTAAATTGATGATGGCATATTTATTGAATATTATCGTACTGGTTGGACCTGTGTAGACGGATAAAATACAATATATAATAAGACAATTGTCATAACCAAATTAATTAAATGTAAATATTAAACGTACTAAACCTGCTTCATATTGCTATTTTAATAATAGAATTATCAATTGTTGAGGTATTTTCAATTTCGTTGGAAACAGAGTTAATTTTTAATCAAGTGTAAATCATCTTCGTTGGAAAGAGATTTTTCACAAGAAACGCCAGCCTGGGGCGTCGTCTGCTAACATCGTATTAACTCACACACAGATTGCCAGTTAATTAATTCTGGCAGCCCATGGTGTGGAAACTCTACATTTTTGCACCGAGGGCTATAGCGTGTAGAAAATCACTGTAACAACATACGAAACTGGATCCCCGTTATCATCTTCACCGTCACAGCTGTTATAAATTTCCTTAAAGTTTTTTTTCCTAGGACGCTAGGCACGAGCCTGGGATTGTTTTTTCACATTACTTCAGGCTAGACCTAGGGGTTGCGGCATTATCACTTTGATAAAATCCATTGGTGACTTGGCGGGGATTGGACCCGGGACCTCAGGGGCTGAAGTTCTGTGCTCTAACCACTACACCAGCTCGCTCCCCAAACAACAGTTTAAAGAAATATGTTTGTATAGGGAAACTAAAGGGCTATGTCAGTTTATAAGTTAGTTACACTGTATAAGATTATCATAGTAAATTTGTCATCCTTATAGAACAGCTAAAGCCAATTTTCTCCTTAGTTCTAAACGTCACACTGTAGGGATTGTGTTTTGTTTATAATTAGTTTCTTGTTATATTTCAGTCATTTAAAGCCTCATTTAGCCAAATAAAACTATCTGATCATACACCATAACTGGTCTCCTAGTTATATAACCAAATAGTAAAGCAGAAATCATAAAAATATTCCTAAAATAATAGAAACAGATTTTTATAACTAATTTTTGCCTCGATAAAATAAAAAAAATATGTCTTATTATATAAAAAAACTACCTCCGTTGAATTCAAACCAAGCAAACTTATTGAACATATTTATTCAATTATATTAAATACATTTTGAATTTTTAAAAGGTATGTTAGAAAGTTTATGGATTGGACCTTTATGTTTAATTTACATTTTACATTTCTTCATTACACTGGTAAACCCCCCCCCACTTTACAATCCCTTCACCACTATTTGATCACAAACCGATTCAAATAGATGTCACATTACGTTTGATTCAGATCTCATCAAAAGTTCGTTCATCAAAGGAAACAATTAAAACCCATTAAGAAAAGCCTTTGACTTTTCAACTTGCTTTTTTATTAATTTGAATCAAGTGAAATCCTCCTCTTCAAACACATCAGATTCAACCTTGATTTTAGTTTTTCACCTTTTGTGAAAATCCGCCCTCCAATCATTTTTCAAATGAATTGTTTGAGTACCAAGCTGAAAAAAATGAAAATTATATTTGAAAAATACAGTTGATAAAACGGTTTATTTAACAGATAAATCGGTTCACCGCAAAATGAAAGACTACAAGTCATAAGTCATAATTCTTATAATCCATCTGTTTGAATATTTATTTTAATTGTAACTAGGATTAAGCTTTGTGTATGATGTTATTTAATTTATTAAGCTGACATTTTCCTAAAAAAAGAACATCTGTGGTTATTGCATCGACGTCTTAACGTATTAAAGACTTAATTTAGCTTTCAAAGTAATAAAAACCACAAAACTGATTTAATGAAACATACATTGATATAACTTTAAATTCCGTCACTTAATGTACGTAAAATATATATTTTCTATGCAAAGATTTTATTTGTATTATGAATAAAAACTTAGATTTTTTGATAATGTATTTAAGAACAGCTGGCACTTTGATTACATTGAATTAAAATATCCACGTTAAAAAAATCGTAAAGTTAAGAAAATGTAAAGAGTGAAATTTCTTTGGCGTTGTTAAAGAAGAAGAAGAAGAGTAATAAATACCAAAAGCTTTAGACTCGACAGAACAATCGAGGGAACACGCTCTTCCAACACACGACCAAGAGGCTGTGGTGGGGTGGGTAAAGTTTAACATGTTCAACATTTTTATAGTATATACTATGTGAACAAAACATTGAAGAAAACATAAATTGTACTAAACATTATAATTAATAAAATATTATGTGTAAAATGGAAAAAAATGTATCCAATAAAGGGATTTAACAATTTTAAAAGGTTAAAAATATTACCTATTTCCTAAATATTATAGTCACTATATTAACAAGTTTATTTAAAAAATATAAGACCATTCTATATTAGAATACTAATTTACTACACGATAAAAAGTCCCTAAAAAACTTACTGTCAAATTCATTCCGCGTAGTGTTTGAACAGCTTATACTTTATACTTTTGAGTGTTTAAAGTTATCTTTGGACTTTGTTGTGTTAAAGAACAAGTTAAAAAACAGTTGAAATAAAATCCGTTTGGAAAATCACAATAAATAAAACGGTATACTTTCATAACGGTAGTCTGATAATATTTTTTGTCATAAACACCCATTTATGTGAATATTTTATTAGGAAAATCATTGCATTCTAAATATATTTTCAACGTAAGTCACGTCGTCCCGAAAACGTTTTTTTATCGTAGACCCAAGCTAAATGTCTGTAGTACTAATTTACCGTGTGTGAAGATAACAAAAGTTTGTAAACTATGGTATTGTGGCAATTTTATCAATGTTGAAGTGAAAAGAGTTGAGTACAAGAGTTGTTACAAACGTACATAAAATGTGTATGTCATTGTGTAACCATGATTGTAATACAATAGTAAAAAATTTAGCTTTTTAGCCAACTAAGTATGTTATTTTATGCTCCTTTTCAGGCTTTGCAAAAAATGATTATGATATTACTTAAAATCATAAGAACAAGAAAAAAACATAATGCTTTTGATTAATGAAATATTCCATACAACTCGTAACTGATTTTCAATTCGTACTTTAA